TTTCACTGAGCTGTACTACAGTTTCTTTTACTGATTCCTAACTTCTTTTTAAGGTGGCTCAAATCCTATATGTTTCAACCTGCCAGTGTCAGTGGTAATGTAAGCTTTATGTTCCACTGTAATTTATCATACAGATACAGAAAAGGAAATGTATACTTTATCTAAACTGATTTTCTATTTACAGGATTATTTCACACTAAGATAACTTTATAGAAACACTCAGAAACATTGGCTGGTATATTTTAAATATGAATATGTAAATAAGATTATATATTATAACAGATTTTTCCAAGTAAAAATACATAAGACCCTCATTTTATGCATATAAGCATTACTAATCTAAAAAATCACATGCATGTTACTGTTGATTTTCTTTCCCCCTGCCTCCTCCACTCCTGTCTTAATCCCTGGAAACCATTAATATTTTCTCTGCTTTTGTACATTTATCATTCAAAAATGTTACATGCATTTAAACAAAAGCAAACTACATAAAAACTGTGTATGTTTTCTTTTTTTTGTTTGTTTATTTAAGTGTGTTTGTGATTGCTCTTTGGAGCATATTTATAATGACCACTTTAAAACTGTCTTGTAATTCTACTGTTTCTGTCATCTTGGTCTTAGTGTGTTTTTACTTTGACTTTGAAATCTTCCTTGTAAAACAGGTGATTGGTTTTGAAACCTGGATATTTTTGTATCTTGTATGAGACTGAATGTTATTTGAACTTTCTGGCTGGGAAATATGGAGACACCAACTTACTGCCCAGTAGAAGAAGTCCAGTTTCCTTATATTCCTTATTTATGCTTTGGGGAGCTAGAATTTGAGCCCCTCACAGGGCATCCACTCTCTCTACAGTGTCTGTGCATGTATTAACTTCCATAAATAAGAGAAAATGGGATAATTTTCTTTTTTTCTGGCTTAGCATAATTATCTCTAACTGCATCCAATTGGTTGCAAGTATTGGGATTTCATTCTTTTTGATGGCTGAGCAATATCCCATTAAGTATATTCATGCCACACTTTCTTTATCCTGTCATCTGTTGATGGACATCTAGGTTGGTTTCATATCTTAGCTATTGTGAATTGAATTAAACTACTATAAACATGTGAGTACATATAATTCTTTCATATGCTGCTTTCATTTCCTTTGGATATATGCCCAGGAATAGGAAAGTTGGGTCATATTATGGACCTACTTTGAGTTTTCTGAGGAATCTCTGTACTGTCTTCCTATGTTATGGCAGTTTATATTCCCACCAACAGACTGTTAGGCTGTCTTTCTCTCCAAATTCTTGCCAGCATTTGTTATTTTTTTGATTTTTGGATAAAAACCACTCAAACTAGGGCAAGGTGATATCTCACTGTAGTTTTAATTTTCATTTCCCTGATGGCTAGTGGTCCTGCATTTTTTCATGTATTCCTTTTATTTGTGTTTCATGACTGGGTTGTGTGTTTATGTGTTGTTGAATTTCTTGATATCCTTATATATTCTGGATATCAATCCTTTATTGGATTCATAGTATTCAAATACTTTTTCCCATTCTCTTGGTTGTCTCTTCACTTTGTTGATTGTTCCTTTGCTATGCAGAGCCTATTAGCTTCATGTAATCCCATTTGTCCATTTTTGCTTTTATTGACTGTGCTTCTGGGGTCTTATCAACTAAGTTGTTGCCTAGGCCATTGTCTTGAAGCATTTCTCCTTTGTTTCCCTCTAATAATTTAATGGCTTCAAGACTTAGGTTTAGATTCCTGATATTTTAGTTGACTTTGTACAGGAACTAAGTTGGAGGTCTCATTTCAAACTTTGCACATGGAAATCTGATTTTCCCAACATCGTTTGTTGAAGAGACTCCTTTCTCTAGGGCATAATTTTAGCTGATGTCAAAAATTGGTTGTAGCTGTGTGGGTTAATGTCGGGTTTCTATTCTGTTCCATTGGTCCACATGCCGATGTCATTGAGGACCATGGAATTCTCCCTTAGCCAAAACTCACAGCAGCATAGGCTGCAGCAGCCTCTTCTCACCTTGCTTGGCAAGATGGTGCTTCCCAGCTGGGCGCCAGCCCATGAATATGCAGGAGTCACTGTTGGTGCATGGCTGGCAATTGCATGTCTGTTCTCTCTCCTCACTGCTCCACAGAGACTCTTTTCTTTTCTGTCCATTATCCACTGAAAATTTCTGCCAAGCTGTCTCCTTGGAACATGATCCTTCCTTTGCTTTCCAGATATCTGTCTGTGGGTAAAGTCAGTGTAACTTCTCCCTAATCAGCCATCTCTGATCAGCACTGGTTCAGTCTTCTAACTTTTTATTTCTGGAACTTTTTTTTTTTTTAACCACAGCCATTAAGCCTTTGACTGTAATGTAAATTAGAAGTTTTATCTCAGGACCAGTGCTGTGGTGCAGCAGGTTAACACCTTGGCCTGAAGCGCCAGCATCCCATGTGCCGGTTCAACACCTGGCTGCCTCTCTTCCTATACAGCTCTCTGCTGTGGCCTGGGAAAGCAGTAGAGGATGGCCCAAGTCCTTGGGCCCCTTCACCCATGTGAGAGACCCAGAGGAAGCTCCTGGCTCCTGGATTCGGATGGGCACAGCTCCAGCCATTGCAGCCAATGTCTCTCTGTCTCTCTCTCTGCCTCTCCTCTCTCTGTATAATTCTTTCAAATAAATAAATCTTTAAAAAAAAGTTCTATCTCAAAACAATAAATTTAGAGCAATATTATTCATTTACAGTCTCAAGAACATTGTGTTACTCTAAAATGGTCTGCAAGTGTAGTGCATGTGGGATACAGTGGGTTCCTTCACTGGAGTTTTTCTGAATGACTCTCATACGTAATGAGAATTTCAATTCTCCAAAAGGAAACTACATTTTCCAAATGTTTAGGGAATCCTTTCAAGGATGGCAGGCATAAAGCAAGCATTCTTTATATAGCGGTACCAATCTGAATCTAAGCAAGCAGGAGATGTAAGAAATACATTGTTATCGATTGTTAAATTGCTCAACCAATTTCTAATTCAATCCACTATTACCAGATAATGGAAATACAGGATTTATCCATGTTCTCAGTTTTCTAGTGCCAAGGAGTTAGGGCTTTGGAGAAAAGTATCTATCACTCACCTGGGCCTCTGTAACATCTCAGGGAACCAGCACCTGCCGAGATCTTCTTATTGCTCTCTGGTGCTGGGGAGCTACTCTATACAGATGCCAATGAAACAGAGCTCCCTCAAATCCAGTGTGTCAATCAGAGCATTCTTACTAAGCTGATCCATGTTGAGGAACAAGAAACTGGGAGTAAACAGGGCCCTTCTGTCTCACATGTGTCTTTGGGTGGGGTCTTCTGCGAAGCCTCCATGTGGATACCATTCAAGAAAGTGGATTCATGTCCCATAATCCTAACAAGCCTGCTATTTTCCTTGAAATTTTCACCTAAATCCTTATGCCTCAAATACTGCTAGCTTCACTAGAAAACTCTATTTTTAATATTTATTTATTTTGAAAATTAGAATTACAGAGAGAAAGGGAGACAGAGAGATAGAGATACAGAGAGAGAGAGATCTTTCATCTGTTGATTCACTCTCTATATGACTGCAATAGCCAGGGTTGGGCCAGGCCAAAGCCAGGAGCTTCATCTGGGTCTCCCAAGTGGGTGGAAGAGGCCCAAACACTTGGGTCTTCTTCCGCTGCTTTTACCAGGCCATTAACAGGGAGCTGGATCAGAAGTGGAACACCCACAGGACAAACCATTGCCAATGCAGGATACTGGCATTGTACACAGTGGTTTTACCCACTACACCACAATGCCAGTTCTAGGAGACTCAATTTTTTAACACAAGCAACACAGATTTCTTCTTTCCTAATATTTTTGTTGTAAATTTTCTTCCAGAAGTAATGACCTAGACATTTATTGGGAGAAAGCAGAAACAAAGACTATCTGAGGGGTAAATCCCTATTATTATTTCAGTTATTTTCCACCACTCTTAAATTTACCTTTAGAAAATGCCAATAAAGAATTTGGCATTGGGGTATGCATTTGAGACAACGGTTAATTCATATGCCTGGATCCCATATGGCAATGCCTGGTTCAACTCCCAGCTATTCTACTTCCAGTACAGCTTCCTGTGAGTGCACACCCTTGGAGGAAGCAGATGAAGCAGATGACAGTTCAGGCACTTGGGTCCTTGCCACCCATGAGGGAGAACCTAACAGACTTCTGGGATCCTGGAAAATGAAGTGTTAAAAGTGGGTGAATAAAAGAATGAGTGAGGTGATGATGCTGCCTTGAGTTTGGATTATATGTCTAATACTAGAGTAATAACTCTCAGTAAAATGAACGCCCCTTGTCTTAGAACATTGTAGTTTGTCGTGTGGCCCCTTGTGTAGTTCTGTCCTCCAGTGGATCTGGGGCTTGATCACGTGCCACTGGACTTTGACTGCTGGGTGATTAGCAAGCATGACGCAAACAGAGGTTTGAGAAGTGTTTGGCAGCTCTTGCTTCTGGAAACTCTTCCTGCTACACATGCAGGAGGCAGAGCGTCCCTCTAGAAGACATGGAAGCCAAAAAAGAGCCAGCATAAATCCAAAGACCCTTAAGGTATCCCCAGTGGCACTGTCAGTTGACTGCAAGCTTTTGAGTGACTCAGGTGAGACCAGAAGGACTATCCAGCTGAGCTTGTAGCAAGTCCCTAATTATGGGAAAATAAAATGGTCATCAAAGCCAGTAAGTGATAAAGTAATTTTATTATATTAATAAGAAATAAAAACAATAGAATAAAATAATTTAATAGAATGAAAGATACAAATGATCCTTAAAAGTGTATGAAAGGCAATTGAGCTTGTGCTCTGTACATTTCAGTATTGTGTAATACTGAAATTTCCTAAATATCAAACTATCAAACTTTTAAAGTCATTTGCTTCAATTAGTTTTAAGCAGGATTTGTTAAAATGTATTTTTTATACATTCATTCTTATACTATTTAATTACTTTGGATGTAGCAAATATATTTATGGTATATTGAAAGTCATCAAAACAATTTCCATGGTATTTAAAAAAAGGATCTTCAGGGTGTTTAAACTAGATATATTGGACCAATGAAAAAGTATGGTTAAGAAAATCAGATCTTGTTCACTTTCTTTTGCCAAAGATGTGACTTTTCTGGAGGTAGTCTTAGTTTAAGGTTCTTCTTATCCATTCTATTACTAGTATATTCCATTATTCTTAACTAGAAGGTAAATATTTTATCCAAATTTAGAAAAATATTGTGAACATTTGTCAATATATCTCCTAGCCCAATGTGCAAGGAGATATGGGATAAAGGTCATATGCATCTGTAAATGTCAAAATTCAGGAATTCAGAAAATGAAAGAACAGTTGGCGGAGCTGGTGGCAGGTATGGTCTTGAGATCATCTGTCAATGTTGCCTTCTTGCTAGTTATCATAACTTTTGGACATGGATGCATCAGATTTATGCATTTGTTCTGTAGAAAAGAAAACAGAAGGTTGTCTTGGTATAAATATTCTAAGACACTGGAAGCATCCCAATTCCTGATGAAATGGATTTTCCTGAAGATTTTTCCTGTAAGTGATGAGGTGAATTTCACAAAACCAGGAAAAGTCACGAATCTGAAGGGGCAATGACACACGTTCTTGGGTTCTAATCTTGAACTCCACCTATCAATAGAGTGCTTGTTGCCTGCAGTTAGCTAGGTTGGGAAGTACTAGCTGGCTCTCAGTTTCAATGGAATCTCTATTGCCCTATGAATTCTTTTCCTTTTTCAGCTATTTTAGTTTACATCTGCATCTGGCTAACACATAAAGCAGCCTGAGATTTATATATTCTCTTGTCTATATTTTAGAGATAAACTGAAGCTGAAAGAAACAAAAATAATACCACAGGAGAATGATGCCACAAGGTTTTTTGCTCTGGAAAGCTTGTTTGACAGGAAAACAAGACCCTTTTCCTCAATGATGCCAGTTTTCTTCGAACTGTTTGAAAAAGCACTGGGAGACTATTGAGTGGGAAAGGGAAATAAATCAAATGGGCATTGTTTAGAGCCTCTCACTTGAGTTTAATCTAGAGCACATTGACAATAACTACAAAGGCCTTCAAACCATTTGTGGAAAAATAGAATTAAAAGTATTACTATATTGTTGTTCCAAAAATGTTCTCATTCAAAACATCTTTTCACTATATATGGAAAGGTTATATAATGAAAAATCAGCCATGAATTTCAAAACACTTTGCCACCACAATGAACTGAAACAATTAGTTTGGGCTCCAGTACATTGATCTCTGCCATTCATAGGAGAAACTTGGATTAAGTTCTTTATTTGTGCATGAGCCTAACCCAGTCATTTGCAGGGTGAATCAGTGTCACTTTGTCATCAAAATCACCTAAACAATTCAGGGTACCTGATGTTTCTGAGCAGTTGTCCTGATTTATTGCATTTTCTAACATGGGGGAGGTCATGTCTTCCCCAAAAATGCTGGAGAAATGTTCAATTAGAAATTGTACAATGGCAACCTGCAACAAAAGTGGACAAAAATAGAATGTATTTTTATATTTGGCAACACTATCTACCTTATTCCATACAAAAATCATATGCCTAACACAAAATCTGAAACTCAGAATTTCAGGAAAAATTCAGAGTTGACAAAAAATTATGTAAACCCATTTTCTCTGGGAAATTTTATCAGTTTTGATAGTACTTGGGCACAGATTTTTACATTCTTCTAGTCAGTTGATTAACATTATCATTTCTGAACTTAGTTTTGAGCATTTTCCATCAATGAATATCTCTTTACAGATATGATATTTTCAATTAAGATTTCTAGAATGGTTAGAGTAAAAATATATATCCCATTCTGAAATCTGTAAAGCAACAAAATAGATGCAAGCTTGGAGAATTCACTTTCAGGGATGTATCCTAAAGTTGTGAATCAAAGATACTTGTTTGGTTCTTTTGGCAAGAAAGGAGGCAAGTGGAGAGAAAATGTGTATCTGTCTAACTTCAGTCTCTCCTTGTGCAATGCCCTGCCTCATCTCAGTATGGCTTCCTGAAGGAGCTTAGAGAAAATCTTGGCTCCTTTGGCATCGTGAATCCATTAGGATATTCTCAAATTTCAGTTGATATCATATTCCATCAGCAGAGATGAAATCAGATTCAGGCATATCTCTGAATGAGTCACAATTGGCAAAGAGAGTTCAGTGTGCACACCCATATTGCCAAAGCCACCCTAGCAGTCACTCAGCTCCTCTGAGTTATAGCTTCTACAATTCATCAGCTGAGGAAGCCTTGGCTTACAAATGTCTCCCTCAATGGAGAGACCTAGTACAACACAAAGTCCATGTTCATTTTTTTTTTTTTTGGTTAAGATGTATTTTTTTTTTTAATTTAAAAGGCAGTTACAGAGAGGGAATGGCAGAAAGAGAAAGAGACAGTCCATCAGCTTGCTCACTCTCCAAATGGCCACAAAGTACAGGGAACCATCTTTCACTGCCATCCCAGGCACATAAACAGGGAACTGGATCAAAAGCAGAGTAGCTGGGATTTGAACCATCACTGTGATATGGAATGTCAGTATCATAGACAGCTGCCCAACCTGTTGTACCATAATGCTGGCCATACTCCATGCTCCTAACATCATGTGACTCTCTTCTTACTTTACATTATTATCAGTCTTGTGTTTGGTTTTTGGATGGGAAATAAGAAATGATCCCCTGTTATCAATGTCTTGCTTACTATCCCACCTGCCCACAACTGCCAGAAGAATGAATGACTATGGCCCTCCAGAGGAGTGCCTAAAGTAAGAACTTCAAAATGGTGCATCAGCATTAAGATAGTGAACTGTAAATGCAAAGTAGAGACAATGCTCCCTAGGGCATACAAATGAGCCATCTAATTACCTTTCTCCTTCTTTCCTTTATTCTTTCTGAGATTGTGGAACCACGTAGCCAAAAAAGACTTGGAGCTATACAAGATGACAATTTTGAAGCTGTCATATTATTCAAAGATGATTTCTTTGCAATCTTCTCTAAGACTCCAAATAGGGAATGCAGGAGTTTAAAGTTCGATTTTGGCAGCTCACCTAAAAGTCTGAACATAGAAAAGTATACTCTTAACACAAGAACTTTAATTGAAGACATTGTATATCCAGAGATAAGGAACTAAATGTTTTGTTTGTCACTGGCAAAACCCAATGGAAGTACTGGTCAATGTCCCAATGTGTCTTCAAAGTATTGCCTGCAATATTTCCTCAAATCTACTATGTCACGTATTAAATTGAGCAAATTTCATTACTATCTAATGTAACAGAAGTATATTTAAGATATTTATTAAATTCCAGAATTTGACCACTTGAAAGCTTCCTGATGAATGTAAACAGAAATTAAGTAGAAGGGGCCCCTTTGCTTCTTTGTAAGGTAGTAGCACAAGAATGCCGCCCATGGCAAGAGTACAAAGGTTACCAGTTATCAAATAGACTCATCACAGCTTAGGACTGCATACACAAACATGTCATGAATTCAATTCCTAGACCTCCACTGGACTTCTCTAGTTCGCTAACACATTGACAATGATACACAAAGACCGATGATCAACTGGGCCTCTTGCCTTTGACTTGAACCTATGAATTTCCTCCTGAATCAAGGCAGTATGTTCAGGATGAGTACAAAGGTCAAGGACACTGTATTCATAATGTTAAGAGAAACAAATGAATGACGACAGCCTGCATGACCTGCATACCTTTCTAAACTGGCCTCCATCTGTGTGACGAAAAACCCCTTTGTCAGTGGTCATGATTTTAATGGATGAAGTGGTAAAATAGCTGATTTTTAAAAATTATTGGTATCCTCACCTTTGAATCGCTGCTATTTGAGTCTCCTCATTTCCTTTATCTGGAACTTGAAGCCACTCATTATACAGGTAGCACGTAAATAGACTGGATGGGATACTTTCTAAGAAGTCCTTATAGATATTAAAAAAAAAGTTATTCCCCTGGAAAACATAATTGGCTAACCTACAAGAAAACTTTAATTGAAGTACTCAGTTTAGTCTCCAATTTTTTCACAGATACCCCCAACTCTGACCTACAAAGGGCTTGCTTCCAACTCTCCACTTATTTCCACATGTCAAGCCACAGACTTGGACTTTCTCTGGCCAAAAGTAGAAATATAAATGAGGGTTCTAGGCAGCAGTGGGGATGAAAATAATGTGTCCTCCCATCATCTGTCAATTCCTTCTTAGGTATACTTTACAAACTAGTACGAACAAGATTTGCTGATGAATCATCCTCATTCAATTACTTTCTTGACAAGAAATAAACATACACATTTTGCCTGTTTATTTCAGGCCTGGTGCATTTAATTCTTAGCAGGAAATGTTTAGAATCAAATAGTGTGAGTACCCACACTCATCCATGCAGTCACATGCACATGGAAAGTGAGGAGTAGGCCTTCTGACTTGTGCTGTGTGGGTTCCTAAGGAGAAAACTATCATTACAGCCTCACTCTTCATGTCTTTATAGATTCAACTCTTAACAGTTGTAAGCATAGTTTACCAGATGCCCAGTTCTTACCTATATGTTATTCTGCACAACCCACTGGCTGGCACACATACAATTCCCACAGAAAGGGAACAATCATAATTTAGATAGAATACAATTTCAGGTCTTTGCCCTTCAGAGCTATGGATGAGCTTCCTAAGTGGAGCCATGGAATATCAGTCTACTTATGGTGTTGATGAATAATGTTAATACTATTAAATTGGACTCCAAACTTTCTCAGGCTTTCATTTTCTTTATGTAGGCATGTAGGGAACTTGTTATAGACCCTTGATGATGTTGTTTGCACTGGTCTTACTATACAGCCCATGAACCTTTGTAATAGCAACTGGTTTAGGAAATGCACCCAAGAAGCTATCATCATTATAAGCCAATGAAGCTCACTCATTTTTAATATTTATTGAGCTATTTTTTGTTCTAGAAACAATTACTACTGAAGATAGAGCAATGAAAAGAGAGTTTCATTCTAGTAATATCTTTACTGTGTGATCAGTGTCCAGTAGACTTCATGGAAGTAAGGAGTGTTCACTGAGTATTCCATGGAGTGGGCCCAGTATGCGGAAAGCAGAATCACTTGAATGCTAGCTGGCTCTGGGAGTTTGGTAGACTCAGGGCACCTTGGGCTGATGCAAACCACAGTAACAAACAGTTGGGTCATTTGTCTTTTCTGTGGTTTCCTGGATCCTAAGGCACTGCACATTAGTGGAGCTAGTTCTTACAGCCACAACACAAGCCAAGCAGAAGATGCAAAGGGAATCATCTGTTGGGCCTCTGCTTCTAGACACCTCAGTGGCAAAAATCAGTGTGGCCCTGCTCATGTTCCTATTCCTACCCTAAAACAGTTCTATAGTTGTATGACATGGTGTTATCAAGGATCAGATTAAATTGCAAAGTCTTCAGGGAGAATCACTGAGTCTTGCTGGAAATTAAATTTATTTCATGTGTATACCTTACGGGGGTAAAACTCAACATGTTGTTCATATTACTGTCTAAGCACAGTCATGTCAAAATGAGTCATTACTATATTGTTGCTATTTGTCCTATGGCCAAATAGGAGGGGGAAGGAAACATCAACTGAATAATTGTGGTGGAATTTTCAGAACTTGTTTGAAGTCATGACCACACTACCATATTTTTTTACACAGCTTCTAAGAAGTAGTAAAATAGATCAATTCAATTTTTTCTCTGTTCTATTTCTCGCATACAGAAATATATTGAAATACTTGCGATTTAGTTGTATCATTTCAAAAATGTGGTTATTTTTCATGGAGATGAACTGAATGTCCAGTACTCTGAAATAATTATGGCTATTATACCTACATTGATAGTGAGATTTTGAGGTAAAGGCTTATGTTGGGAGCAAGGTTACTCTATACTCTCTACTGAGGGTAGTGTGTTAAACGTAGTAACTACAAACAAAGCATATCAGAGTGGTAAAAGTGAAAGAATGCAAAAAGGGTAAAAATCCTTTGTATACCATTTTTAAAGTGCAGACATAAGAGACAGGGGAAAGAATGATGAGGAACTAGATGGAGGTTCTGATGGTCTTTTTTGAGTATTTGTTGATTCACTGTGAAGCAGAATATGTGCTGCTACAGCACAGTTCTCTAACAGTTTTCAAAAGCTCAGAAGTCTTGTGGAAAATTATTGTTACAAAGACAGTGTGAAAGTTACCCAATGCAGGATACTTGTTTGGGGAAGATTTTGTATATAGAAGGGTAGGTCTGACAGTGTTTTTTTGAGTAGCAATAAAAATGATGGTATTTTTGTATTGGTTGTTGAGGCTGAGGAAGGACACGGTCATCTATGATGATCAAGAAAGCATGTGCAAGCCATGGGATTTTAAACTGAGAGAGTAGCTGCTTTTAATAGGAACTTTGTAGCATGTTTTTCAGAATCTTAATGCCACAGGTCTATTATTATTCTTGGATCATCATCATTAAGGAAAGCCATCCCACAGTTTCCATACCACACATGGATGATGCTAGAACTTTTCCTACCTTTAATGTAGCTGCAACATCAATAGCAGACTCACTCTCCCAGTTCACCTGGCATCCATAGTTTAGTTTGTACTTTAGGGCTCTGCATGATTTCTCATTGCCACTTTTTTTGAAAATGTCCTTTGTAAATGGACCTTGTTGTTCAATTAAAAGTATCATATCCTTTGGATAAAATAAAAGGCATAAAATTATATATTTAAATATCCACAAGTCCCAAGCACAAGCATGCCCATGTTGTGACAGAAAGCTATTTCATACAAGGTTACAGGTCTGGAGAACAAGTATGGAGGTCAAATTTGGAGATCTCATTTTGGTGTCTCTAAATGAACTTTGTACCCAGAGTCATTCCATGTTCATACAACAAAACATCTTAAGTGCTTGATTTAACAATGTCACCCTTTGCAGTGAATTTATACTTTTCAATTCAATTTCTCTGCTTCTAGGCCTCTATGGAATTGCTCTTTTATAAGCAAATGTTATGTACTCATTCTCCCCCAAAACTAATAATTGCCACAATAGTTGTTCAATAATTGTGAATATCATATTGCTAAATTTATTTTCCATTTCTTTATTCCCCTCAGAGTGACTATATACCCCATTTCTATCTCCTAGTGTGCCACATTGCTTTAAAACCAAAACTAAAACCTGTCTCCTCTCAGAAACCTTAGGATTGCATTCCTGTGTCACTAGTCTTTTATTTCCTACTGCTCTATCTTCATAACAAATATAGAAGAATGATTCTCAGAGTCAAGTATCTTAGGGCATTTTCTTTTTGTTGCTGTTTTGTTTGTTTATTTATTTATGTATGTATTTGAAAGGCAGAGTGACAACAGTGATGGAGAAACAGAGAAAGATCTACCATTTGCTGATTCACTCACCAAATGGCCAAAACAACTCCAGGGCTGGGTCAGCCTGAAGCCAGAAACCAGGAACTCCATCCCAGTCTCCCACATGGGTGCAGGGTTCCCACTATTTGGGCCCTGTGCTCCCTTCCCAGACTTTTTTTCCTCTCTAGGGCATCTTCAGCCAAGTACACCACCAGCAAGTGCCTACCTCAGTGACCTTGGGTACAAAAAAGAACTTTACTAAGACTTTCCTTTATTGGGGGTGATGATACTCACAGATTTGCCAGTATTCACCATGAAAGATACAAAGTCCAGTGCCATATCTACCATGTACCTGACATTATGAGTTTCTTCACTTCTAGCCTAAGATTCCCTTACTTAAAAGGTGAACTTGATGAGATACTGGACCCTCAATAAATTTACCACTGACATTATAGTTCACCAATTTTCAATCAAATAGTTCCCAATCTACACCTTTATTTCACAAGTTCTGTTAGAGTGGAAAGAGTAAAACATGCCAGAGGATGAATTTTTATGTTGAAGCCTTGGAGAGATAAATGGAATACATGTGAGGTATATTGAGTGGTAAGATTGAATTGTATAGAAGAGAAAATGATAGGAAACTTGAGATCAGTGGGTAGTTCAGGTACTGAAGAAGACAAGCAGAGAATGTGAAGGTGAGGTGGACTCACAGAGACTCAGACACACAGAGCCCATTGGGAATTTCCTGTGCATGTGTATGGGGTGCTTTGTTGAAGCCAGTGACATAGATAGCAGCATCTTCTTTCCTTTTGGATTTTCTGTATCACTGTGAAATACCTACATAAGATTTTCCTTCATTGAAGTAGCACGAACAAAGTTTCTCAACCAATGCTGGTGACTAACTAATGATTCCTCCACTTGGATGACAGACAGATGAGAAGACTTGACCTTTCCAAAGGTGGGTTATTGAAAGCCAAAATGAGACCTACCAATAGAGATTTGGGCAGGTTATCATCTTTACAAACATCTTGGATGAGAGACCCAAATAGGTGAACTGACTGAGATGTGCTCGGGATAGGCTCTCCGGGCTGTAAATCCTTGCTTCCACAAAGGCACCACTTATTCAGCCACTTTCTTATTGAATGTATTATTTGAGTTGACTTCATGTTACCATCTGAGGGAGAAATGAGATGGTTAGATGCGAAGTTGAAGTCAGAGATGCTCATTTACGGCGTTTCCAGGCTATAGCACATGTATTGAAGTGGCTAGAAAGAAATTGCATCTCTTGTATAGAAATGTCTAAACCCTGAAATGGCACCCAGCACCCAAGTGGTGAGAATATGATCTACTTCCCCATATCATTGAACTGCTAATGAAATCTAGAGTTTGAACAGTCTCATGTTCAATTCTTTAGTGGGAATATTTGCCAGACAAGGCTAGCCACAGCTTGTTGCATTATACAGTGAGGTTTTTAGGCTGTAGAGGTGCAAGTTTCCTGATGCTAAGTTTAAACTGCATGTTCATTATCAAGTCTCATTTGACAAGCTAAAAGGCATTTGGTATTCCAAATAAAGAAGCTGATAATCATCTCTGTTCATGGTCAGGCTCATCTCACTTTGGGATTACTTTTTTTTTTTTTTTAATTTGACAGGTAGAGTTATAGACAGTGAGAGAGAGACAAAGGTCTTCCTCCTGTTGGTTCACTCCCCAAATGGTCACCATGGCTGGCGTGGCACTGATCCAAAGCCAGGAGCCATGTGCTTCTTCCTGGTCTCCCATGTGGGTGCAGGAGCCCAAGCACTTGGGCCATCCTCCACTGCCTTCCTGGGTGCACAGCAGAGAGCTGGACTGGAGGAGGAGCAACCAGGACTAGAACTTAGTGCCTATATGGGATGCTGGTGCCGCAGGTGGAGGATTAACCAAGTGAGCCATGGCGCCAGCCCCTAGGATTTCTTACTTGGCATTTGGAATGCCTAACCACTGCCAACTATCTCCAATCATAGGAATCTGCCTTTCTTTGCACAAGTTGCCTGAGCTTATTCCTTGGACATTCCTCCTGAGGGCTGGGAACTTCAGGCAAGTCAATGGGTGACCTTATTCCTCTTTCACCAGTTGGTGTCATTGGTTGTGTGGAATAATCCTCAATGGCCTTGTTTCTTGTGACATCTGGCCAAGTGAACCAAAATGCTTTCTTACTGATCAGCAGCCCCTGCAAATTGAATGCTGATCAAGGGTTGCTTCTCAAAGAAATGGTGATCAGTAACAAACAGCTGAATTCCAAGGATTTACTGCTCAGGTGCATGCCTTCTCAATAAGGTATCTAAATGTTTTCTCAGTTAACCTCCTTATACCAAATCATAAACTGAGTCAACTCAATGCATTCTTAAAGCAAGAACTTTAATTTAAAACATTGTAAAAGTCATGGGGTAGCCTGATAGATGACTGTGTTTCCAAAATCCAATTTAAAGACACATATACTAGGCACTTGATGGGCATTGTGAGCATCACCATTGCACATACATGAGGGCAGCACTCCTGGTGGTCAGAGATCAGGAGGGGCTCCTCATTATGCCACTTATAGGAACAGATAATAAAAATTTTTAGAGCTTCAGTTGGCTCAATTTGTACATGAACAATACTACTTGCACCTCTTTGACTGGGCTACATAATATACTACTCAACAGAGTCTAGGTAGGTACATAGTGGTCTAACCAAAGGCAATTAAATGATCCAGGGTACCTGCAGTTGCAGGGTTGCTCTTTGGATCTATTGTGATTTCTTCAACAGAGGTGAAGGTGTCATTCCTAAAAATCCTCATGAAATTCTCAATCAGGAATTTAACAAGGGCAACCTGTAACACAAAGGCCAAAATAAAATGTATTTTTATATTTTGCATCACTATAAACCATATTACATATATGAATTGTGGACCTAACAAAAAATATGAAACTCCAAAAATTCAGCATTGATATAAAAACATATGAACCCATTTTTCTCTATGAAACATTATCGGTTTTGAGAGTATTTGTGCATAGATATCTAAATTCTTTGAATCCACGGATTAACATGTTCAGTTTGTGCCTTTTTTGTTAGCAGCCTACATCAATTACTACATTTTTAGAGATATGATATTTTCAATTAGGAGGTTTGAGGTGAAAAAGTATAGTCACATTTTAATATTTATATAGCACCCAATAGACACAAACTTGGGAATCTCATTTTCAAAGTAGTCTGTACTTGGGAAGCAGAGATTCTTGGCAGCTTCTATTGACAAAAAAGGAGGCAGGTGGAGAAAAAAATGTCTGTTTCTCTGACTGCAGTCTCTCCTTGTGCACTGCCCCACCTCACCTCAGCTTTCTGCCTTACTTTTTGGATGAGCCTGACTTTGTCATGTTGTCACTCCATTGTGATGGTCTGGAATCTTAGGCTCATTCTTTTTAAATTTTATTTAAGTTATAAAAGTTTCATGTATTTCATATACACAGATTTTGGAACATAGTGACACTTCCTCCCCTACCTGCCTCCCACCCATGCTTCTTCCCATCCTCCACTTCCCTCTCACATTCCTATGCTAATTTTTACAGAGATCTATTTTTCAGTTTCTTCAATGCTTAGTGTAGGCTCATTTTTATGTTCTTCCAGCAGAGCAGAAATCAAATTCAGAGCTTGGGCAAGATGGCGGAATAGGAAGGGAGCACACTGATAGTCTGGGGAGAGATAGTTTAATAAAAGTGGAGATACTGCAGGTTCAAGGAAGAGTAGGGGAGGAAACAGCAGAAGAAACTCTTCCAGAACGCATGATTCACAGTGGACCTGCGTGGAGAGCGTGGGAGCCCAGAGTTCGGGACATCAGCGGCAGACTCAACACACCAGCGCTGGAACGCGAGGTGAGCCGAACCTCAATAGCCCGAGACACCGGCAGGCAAGCGGAGAGAGGAGACTAGAGGGAACGACCCCCGGGGGGGGGGAAGTTCACAAGGCTAACTGGAAGAGAGAGAGAGAGAGAGAAAAAAAAGGGTGACTAGTACGGACACGGGTTTCTCTCTCTCCGCTCACCTCTCAAGGGCGAGCAAGACAAAGAGCAGGCGCCATCTTGGACATACGTCATAAGCAGAGCGACCTCAGGTCTGCACCGGCCCTGAGCCTAGCAGAAAAACCTGACTCTGGGCGGGGCGAATTAACAGGAGATTAGGACCTAGTAAATTTGTGGTGCTACTGAACTGAGACTGTGAAAACAGAGACGGTGGGGGAGAGAACTCACGGAATTCACGTGAGCACTCTCCAGAGACGCTACAATTCCGTAACTTTGGCAACCCAGTGGGAGGCTGAAGGAGAATTTGAGCCCACTCTGAGGGCCGAACAGATTCCCTGTGGGGATCTTGGGAAAGAGCTTCCGATCTCTGGCTCCTGTGGGTATATCATTTGCCTGCTAACTACCTCCAACTTCGTTCAGCTGTGTGGAATTACTTCCCTTTTGAATCAAAAAAAAAAAAAGAGAGAGAGAGAGATTTACCACGCCTAACCTGGGAGTGTCACCTTTGGCACACCAAACAGAGCTCTCAGGCCACACCCATCTCAAGCCCTAAGGCTCCATCAAAAACAGATAGTCCACTTAATCTAGAGTCATAGTATAACAAGAAAAAGCACCACAGTGAAGAAACCAAATATCTCCAATATGCCAAATAACAAACGCAAAAACCGAGGTAATAAAAACAAGGAAGTCACTATGACGCCCTCATATGAAAAAGACACCCCAATTCAAGATTATGAAGATGATGACATAGAAGAAATGCAAGAAGCAGATCTCAAAAAATTGATAAGAACATTAAGAAGTTCTCAAAAACAAATTCTGGAACTACACAAATCCTTAATGGACAAGATAGAAAATCTCTCTCGTGAAAATGAAATATTAAGGAGGAATCAGAATGAAACGAAACAACTAGTACAACAGGAAACTGGGATAGTGACTGAAGTGAAGAATTCAATAGATCAAATGAAAAACACAATAGAGAGCCTTACAAACAGAATGGGTGAAGCAGAAGAGAGAATATCGGACTTAGAAGACAGAGAACAGGAAAGGATACAGTCAGACCAAAGAAAAGAAGAGGAAATTAGGAATCTAAAACATATTGTCGGGAATCTTCAGGATACTATTAAAAAACCCAACATTCGGGTTCTAGGAGTTCCTGAAGGCATGGAGAGGGAGAAAGGATTAGAAGGCCTTTTTAGTGAGATATTAGCAGAAAATTTCCCAGGTTTGGAGAAGGACAGAGAAATCCTAGTACAGGAAGCTCACAGAACCCCTAATAAACACGACCAAAAGAGATCCTCACCACGACACGTTGTAATTAAACTCTCCACAGTGAAACATAAAGAAAAGATCCTAAAGTGTGCAAGAGAGAAACGTCAGATTACTTTCAGAGGATCTCCAATCAGACTCACAGCTGACTTCTCATCAGAAACTCTAAAAGCTAGGAGGGAATGGCGAGATATAGCCCAGGTACTAAGAGAGAACAACTGCCAGCCCAGAATATTATATCCTGCAAAGCTATCATTTGTGAATGAAGGTGAAATAAAGACTTTTCATTGCAAACAGAAATTGAAAGAATTTGTTGCCACTCGTCCAGCCCTGCAAAAGATGCTTAAAGATGTGTTACACACAGAAACACAGAAACACGGTCATCAATATGAAAGAAGGTAAAGGAAGGAAACCAAGGAAGGAAACCTCACAGCAAAAGATCACAGGGAATTCAAAGCATATATTAGAACTTATCTTTGGCAAATGGCAGGGCAAAGTTACCACTTATCATTAGTCACTTTGAACGTGAATGGCCTGAACTGTCCAGTTAAAAGACACCGATTGGCTGATTGGGTTAAGCAACAAAACCCATCTATTTGCTGCTTACAAGAAACACATCTTTCCAACAAAGATCCATACAGACTGAAAGTGAAAGGCTGGAAAAAGATATACCATGCCAACAGAAATGAAAAAAGAGCGGGCGTAGCCATCTTAATATCGGACAACATAAACTTTACCACAAAAACTGTTAAGAGAGACAAAGAGGGACACTACATAATGATTAAGGGATCAATTCAACAGGAAGATATAACAATTATCAATGTATATGCACCTAACTACAGGGCACCAGTTTATCTAAAAGATTTATTAACGGACTTAAAGGGAGACTTAGACCCCAATACAGTAGTACTGGGGGACTTCAATACTCCACTCTCAGAAATAGACAGATCATCCGGTCAGAAGATCAACAAGGATACAGTAGATTTAAACGACACTATAGCCCAAATGGATCTAACAGATATATACAGAACTTTCAATCCTACAGCTAAAGATTTTACATTCTTCTCAGCAGTACATGGAAGCTTCTCTAGGATTGACCACATACTAGGCCATAAAGCAAGTCTCAGCAAATTTCAAAAGAATTAGAATCATACCATGCAGCTTCTCAGATCATAAAGGAATGAAGTTGGAATTAGCATCTCAGGAATCCCTAGAGCATACACAACACATGAGATTGAACAACATGCTCTGAATGAACAATGGGTCATAGAAGAAATCAAAAGAGAATCAAAAACTTTCTGG